GTATTTTAATCCATAAGTGAAAACATTTCAATTAGTCGATTCTAGCCGACTTTACCCGTCCGTTACGACTTCTGAAATCTGACGGATCAATCTAATTTTCACTCTCCGCAAAAAAGTGCAAAACGCGTCTAAAGACGTTTTCACTGCAATCCTATATATTATTTCTAAAAGGTGTTTTTTTTTTTTCGGTAAGCCATAACTTCGTCAATTCTTCATGAAATCTAATGATTGACCACTCATTTTGACGATATTCTTCTCCTTCACATGCGAAAAATAGTCCCATCCTCCCGAAATGTCTGCGAAAAAAGTTATAGAGGAAGAGAAACTTTATTTGTGAATAACTCAAAAAGTATGCATTTTTTTTTCTCGATTGAACAAATAATAATTAGAAAGATTACTAAATTATCTACAAAACCCCCCAAATAATTGTAAAAATTATTCGCACGGGCTAACTAGTTGGTTGAACTCAATAACAAAAATAGCCATTTTATACAAATAGTATTAAGATAAACAAAAATCATCTTATTTTTTCCGAATAGACAGATTGCCCTCATTAACTATAGAGCATTTCTTATCCCTAAGTCACTAACGACCAATTTTGAATTCAGTGATAATTGTGCAAGATTGTCTTTTACCAGAATTAATGTCACACAGTATATAGCAATATATCAATTAATAATGTAAAAAGTGAAAAATATCTCTCATTTTTTTAGGGTGTACAACCTCAAATAAAAATAAAAACGTTTTTCACAGTTTGCTTAGTTCCAGCAAATAATGTGATAAGAATATCACGTTAAAATGGGTGATTGAATCATAAAATCCTAGAATATTTTGATATATATTATTATCTTTGAATATAAAAGACAATTTAAAGGTAACGTTTAGGTATCGATAAAATAGTAACATGGCTACTACTACGTCCTAGCCTAACCAGCTAATCGACTTTTCTTAATCGATTTTAGTTTTCACATTTTATTCACTCATGAAGCTTATTTATTATTTATTTTAATTTTTTTACCTCAAATTATTGGAGGGGGGGGGGGGGGAGGCGAAACGAATTCTTTCCCCCTCAATGTTTTTATTAAGCACAGACTTCGAGGGGCCCTATAGCATTCCCAGAGGACGAGAATTCGTTTTGCTCCTCCCTACCCCCAAAAATTTGAGGTTAAACAAAATTAAAATAAATAATAAATAATCTACATGAATTAATAAAATGTGTACACTTAAAAACTATTTTATTGATACCTAAATGTTACCTTTAAATTGTCGTTTATATTCAAAGACAATAATATATATCAAAATATTCTAGGATTTTATTATTCAATTACCCTTCAATTTTCACGTGATATTCTTATCACATTTTCCGGTGCCAAACTAGTCAAAATGTGAAAAACGTTTTTATTTTTATTTGAAGTTGTACACCCTAAAAAAATTAAAGATATCTTTCACTTTTTACTTTATTCATTTTTTGCTAAAAAAATTCTAGGAATGTGTCAATGTTATGAAGGCTGTCTCCCCTCTCCCTTGTGTTTAATCTAAACAAATATTCTATACATTCAACTGTATTTTTAAAATATATTTTCTAGTATATATAATAAGTAAAACAAAAAATCCTCACAACTATACAAATATATAAACAAATTAATTTTAAATATTCAATATTGTATTTTTTCATTTCACAATAATTCTGTTGAATTTTTACACATAATAAAAATTTCCGTATTTTTTTTGGTTCATCACCTCTCCCCTAATCAAAATCGAAAGTCTGCGCTTATATATGAAACAATCAAGAAGGCAACTGCTGCTCTTCGAAGACGATACCGAAAATGTTTAGAAGCCAATGATGGTGTTTTCGAATATTTATTAAAATAAAACGCTAACACATATATGTACATCTACCTTTAAATAGGATAAGAGCTTATGAGTTTTTTTCTCGTTATTTTCTTGTGTGCAACCCACTCGAGAAGTTTGCTCAGTTTCTTTCGATTCACCCTGTTGTATATTTTTAAATTTATAGGCAATACAAATCTCGTTACTCCATCTGTTATTGTAAACTACATAACTCCACTCTGAACTATATATGCTTAGAGAAATTTGAAAGTACATCTATATATTTAACCTACAAATGATTACGGATTGTACGACTATTAGTTATTACGACTATTTTTTATTTTCCAACGAGATTTTCATTGCCGGTCATAGGAATATCAAAATTTGTCACACTAATTGTAAGCGTTAATGTTTTGATTTTACAAAAGGAAAATCATCAAATTATTCACTAATTTATGTGCTTATCCGTTAAAAACTCAGATTCGAAAATTTTCACGATCGCAATACTTTCCCTTACATATTAAAAAATTAATTTTTTTTTTAAATACTACCGTCAGGACCCTTTGCACAACGTTTTTGAACGATAATATAATAAGTTTAATAATTTTATAAACAAGTAAAAATATAATAAAAGATGCCAACCTCCTTCAAAAGAAACCGAAAATATCAAGATTTCGCTGTATAACGCAACTTGTCACTCGAAGAGATTCAAACCGTGTAAAGAACAATTGACAATCAAGAACATCAAAGAAAAATAAAAAGTAAATACAATAAAAAAATAAATAAAGTGTGCTTGATGCATTGGAAAGCAGTTGTTGCAAATATATTATTAAAAAATAATAAATAACTCTCTCATCTGTCTTTATTTATTCATTCGATTTTAATAAATTTTTTGGCTAACAATTATTTTTTATTTAATTTCTTATGAAATAAATGATATTTTAGTTATTTTAATAATATTGCAAGTTTACAATTTTTATTTTAAAATATTTTTTCATGAAATTACTGATTTCGAATATATAAATTACATATAGTAAATCCTACTTATTTCTTTGATCTTAGTATAAAATATTTAATTAAAAAAAAAAGTATTTAAATTCTGTTTTTAATTGTGACAACTGTCAGAATTCTTTGTTTAACGTTTTCAAACCATAATAAAATAACTTTAATAATTTTACAATTATGTAAAATATAATTATACGCCAACCACACAAGAAGAAGAAAAAAATATCGTAGAGTTCGCTGGCAAAAGTCGCTTGTCGCATGGAGAGATTCGAACAGTTTAAAGTACGAGTGACGACTATTAGAAAAATCAAAGACAAAATAAAAACAGAAAAAAACATTTGTTTGATACATTTAAAAGCAGTTGCAAATATGTTGTAAAAAAAATAATTAAAAAAGCTCTTTGCTGTCTTTAATAATCCTTTATATAAAAAAAAAGTAATTAAATTTAAACCGATTCCTTTTTATTTAATTTTTTTTAAATAAATGATATTTTAAATGCATTTTATTTATTTTTAAATTGATTTCTCATTAATAATATGTTTCATGTAATTCCGAATATATAAATTGTATACAATAAATAGTCCTTATTTCTTCGAACATAATTTTAAAAATCTGAGTTGAAAAAAATAATTATTTAAATTTCTTTTTTAATTTATTACAACTTTCAGAACTCTTTGTATAACGTTTTCGAAGTATGATATAATAAGGTTAATAATTTTATAAACATATACAAATTAATAACAGAGCCGACCTCCTTCGAAGAAGACGAAAATATAAAGAGTTCGCTGGCCAAAGTCGAATGTCACCCGGAGAGATTCCAACAGAGTAAAGAATAACTATCGACTATCAAGGAAGACCAAAGACAAAATAAAATATATTAAAAAATTCAAATAATTTGTTTGATGCGTTGAAAAGCAGTTGGAAATATATTATACAAAAATAATAAATAATTTTTAAATTTTAAATAATTTGATTTATACCGATTTTTTTGACATCATTATTATTTATTGAATTTTTTTCAAAATAAATGAGATTTTAAATATAATAATTAAATGCATTCGGTCTGTATATATTTTTAAAATATTTTATAAACAAATATTTTTTACTGCCATTATCGGACATCTAAAATATAAATTATATACAGTAGATAGTCCTTATTTCTTCGAACTTAATTTACAAAATCAGAGTAGAAAAAATAATTATTTAATTTTTTATTTAATTATGAAAACTTTGTATAACGTTTTCGAAGTATGATATAATAAGGTTAATAATTTTATAAACATATACAAATTAATAACAGAACCGACCTCCTTCGAAGAAGACGAAAATATAAAGAGTTCGCTGGTCAAAGTCGCCTGTCACTCAGAGAGATACCAACACAGTAAAGAACAATCGACTATCAAGGAAGACAAAAGACAAAATAAAATATAATAAAAAAATTCAAAACATTTGCTTGATGCATTGAAAAGCAGTTGCAAATATTTTATACAAAAATAATAAATAATATTTAAATTTTAAATAATTTGATTTATACCGATTTTTTGACGTCATTATTTTTTACTTAATTTATTTGGAAATAAATGAGATTTTAAATATAATAATTAAATGCATTCGATCTGTATATGTTTTTTTAAATATTTTTTACTGCAATTATCGGACATCGAAAATATAAATTATATATAGTAGATAGTCCTTACTTCTTCGAACTTTGTATACAAAATATAATATTTAAAAAAATATATATTTACATGTTTTGTTTTTATTTTTTTAAATTATGACAACTGTCATAATCTTTGGTAAAACGTTTTTGAGCGATGATATATAGGTTTAATAATTTTATAAACAAGTAAAAATACAATAAAATTCGCCTACCTCCTTCAAAAGAAGACGAAAATAACACGAGTTCGCTGGTAAAAGCCGCCAGTCGCACGGAGAGATTCAAACTGTTTGAATATATTACGAACTCTGCCGCTTTGAAAACCCCTTCTTTAGGCGCTGTCTACTGCCGCGTTATCTAGCGGCTAATCGGGTCAACTAACAATACCGCTTGTGCGCAAGCGTCATCTGTAACCTCCCACTTCTGTGTTCTATTTATTTTGAAAAAAATAATATCTGTTTTGATATAGGATTCAACGTTTATATATATTAAAGTAAAAAAATCTAAAATGTCTGTATTTCCTCCTGGAACGGCATCTCTATTAGAAGAAGTCGATAGTAAGTGTGAAGAGAAAACAAACTTCTTGCTACTACTGCTGGCTAAAGAACTCAAGGGATTATGTGATAGTGTTAACAAAAAATAAGTTCAGTTTTAGTTTAGAAATCAATGTGGTTATTCAATGTGTTATTCGCTTCTAAAGTATTCCCATCCCTAGAGATCAATGAAAAACATTTTTATTATATCTATAAGATGGTCAGAAGGCAGTCAAATTCATATAATTAATTCAATCATTGTGTATATTTTATTTACCAAAGTTTAAGTTCAAATTAGGGATTGAAACTTGTTCAAAAAGCTGTTTTGTAATAAAGTTCCAAGTTTAACTTGTATTTATTCAAGTTCTTGAAAAAATTGCATTAAGTGAAATATAAGCAGTAATTTGTCTTATATGAATTATACATGAGTCTAATGTGTCGTTTATCTGAGTAGCTATGGATAAAAGTCATTTTTTAGATCTACTTTTTAGTGAAATCCACAGAACTTAAATAAAAGGGGTCTTTTTACTTCACTATCACAAATCACTTTTCAATAAAAACATATGATTTATTTGTCACGGTTACATACTTGTTAATACTATCGTGACATAGTTATAATCTCATTTTCAATTAAAGAAATAAATAGATACATGTTTTTCACCAATAACAAATTAAACTGACAATATTGAATGTTTTAATTATTGTAAACAATAAAAGATGAACAACATCAAAATATTATTTTATGTTTAATTGAACGTACACACTAAATAACCTAATCTGTAACAGTTAAGAATAATTTAAACAAAAATCATATGTTTTTATTGAAAAGTGATTTGTAGTAGCGAAGTAAAAAAGACCCAATAAATAAAATTTCAGTAAACATTAATTTACCGAAACTTTTTAAGATACATGTTTTTCACCAATAACAAATTAAACTGACAATATTGAACGTGTTTATTTAAAATTATTGTAAATAATAAAAGATGAACAACAAAATATTTTATTTTATGTTTAATTGAACGTACAAACTAAATAACCCAATCGGTAACAGTTAGGAATAATTTAAACCAAAATCATATGTTTTTATTGAAAAGTGATTTGCAGTAGCGAAGTAAAAAAGACCCAATACAATTTTTTTCAAAAATAAAAGTTCTGTTAATCTTAACTTACCGAAACTTTTTAAAAATATAAGTTTTTTTTTCGTTTCAAGCCCTGGTTCAGACAATTTAATTTTAACATCTTTATCAGCACTCAAAATATAGATATTAAAGATGATTGTAAGTTTTGTATCATAAATGGATCTATGTGACTGAGCCACAAATATATCGTCAGCTTATTCCAAAAAGTATCGAAGTATATAACAATATAATATAATAGTATATCAATACAAAAACTCAGTAAGTAGACAATATTCTATTATTTGCTTATGGAAAATTCATCAAATTTTTTTAATTTAAATAAAATTTTTTAAATGTTACTTAATCATTTTTTGCAATAAACCAAAGATATTGCACTGCTAAGCACAACCCAAAAGACTTTTGCATTTTTCATTCTAATATATTACAAAAGCCGTGGTTATTATTTTTACAATCTGATTCACTCATGTTGAATTAATGGACACCTATGGAGATACCTCAATAATTTCAAGCAACTAAGTACATTTAAGGTGGGGAAGTTTGTTGAGCGTTGCAGTCACCATATCTACACCATCAAGTACATTTTTGTAAAACTTTTAAGTATGTTTTTGTGTTAGGAGCGGGGTGGTTAGAGCTGAGCGAACTAACGCGTGTTTACAGCACCACATGTTGCCCTGCAACCCGGATATAAGATAGTGTGATAAAATAATGCTGGGTTCGTATCCCGATGGCAAGGGAGGCTATTAACTCTGGCATTAATCCCCGCACTCACCCCTTGCCCTGGAAATCCCCATATAGCCTAAAAGGAGAGGACTAAAAAAAAAAGTACTTATGAATTTTGATATATATATAACATTGTAAATAAATCAAATTTATATAAACCCTATAAAATATCAAAAGTAGATACAGCAAGAATAATATTTTTATTTCACTCAGGAAAAATTTATCTAAGTACCTACTGATTTAATTTTACTTAGTGAGTTTTTGCTCTAACTCCACAAAATATATTAATAAATTATATTGCCATAACTTTTATGTTGGCAAATAACAGAAAGGCTTTTAATCATGCCTATTTGTTTTTGTTTTTTTTTTTCCTTCTTCTGAAGTATTTCTTCAACCCTCCTGATCATTAATTTGGCAGTAGCAATAATTTTGTTAAATGAATTGTGTAAATACACAAATAAAAGTGACAATGTCAATAAGATTCTCTACATCATAATATTTTTATCAAATCCTGGAATATGTAAGATATTTGAATGACTAATAACTTATTTTAAAAAACCATAAACAAAAGTATTGTAAAATATGAAAAATTATGCACTAATTAGCTGCAATCGTTGGCTCAAATATATTCTTTTTTAGTTTGTTTCATCATAATCTCTTTTCTTAATTATGTCTTTAAGTCTTTATCTCTTATGAAATTTGTATTACTTTGGTTAAAGTGTTGGTAAATAAATGATAAACAATGAGTGAAGTTAGAAATATTGAGATGTAATGTTTTTTTTTTTTTAATTTCTCTATAGACTGAAAAAATTATATTTCAACTTCTGAAATCTACATAAATTAAGATTCAGAAGGTGGTGTATGGAATTGAGTATTTAAACTATTCTTTAAAAATTCCTATTTTTCCTAAAATTTTCACTTAGCATTTCATTTATTTATTTATATCTCATTGCTCCCTTTACTCACCATCATCTGCTACTTAATTCCTCTAAACGATGATGATAGTATTAAATAGTACAAATTCTGTGAATTTAACTTACCCACTATGTCGATAGTTTACTCCTAAAACCTTGTAAGTCCATTTTACACAAGGAAACAAAAACTGTATTTCTATTACAGAAAAATGAAATTTTTTATTGTTCACAATGTTCTGAAAATATTTTATTGTAATTGTAATTTAGGGAGAAGATGGTCGGAGGTGCAATCAATAGACACTATATATTATAGTACCTATCTGTTTATTCATTAGCCTTTGTTTTAAAGTTTTTTTTTTGTTTGTTTTTTTCTGTTCTTCCCTACTTCGCATTTTAGGCTATACGGGATTTTCCCCGGCCATAGGGTGAGGGCAGGGAATTTAAAATCCTCTCTGGCACTAGGACACTAGCTCGTACTTTTTTTTTCAATCTCATAACTTCAGTTATTTGGTTGCCTTTGTTTTATGTTATAGGACAAATCTTAGGCAAATGAATAAACATTACTATAATGTATAGGATGTGTCTTCTTGATCATACCAATGACCAACTTCTTCCTAAATTTTTATTCTTTTGCTTGTTTCATTTTAAGAAATCACTAGCATTGTTGAAAACATAACATCACACATAGTAAATATTAAAGTAAATGAGTGAACATCACATATTTACATGACTTAAGAATTTTTGTGAATTGCATTTACAAGGTTTTAAAAGTAAGCGATTAAAACAATGTTTTGATTTATTCTGTGTTGCCTGACTTATGAATGATACTGTTTATGTGTTCTGTCAATTTCTATTTTAAATTCATATATTATAATAATGCCTATGAGAAAATAACAGTGCTAGTTTTTTTGTTTGTTTAGAGTATGACTAAAAATGTGATTGAAACTATAAAATAAGTGAATCTCATACTAGAAGCATGATTTTGATCTCATGATTAAATATATATATATATATATATATTAAATGATTCTGTGATTATGGCTGTTATTATATCAGATATTGTTGTCTATCTTTATTTAATTGCGAACACATGGTACTTTATTTATTTCTAAAGGGTTTTGATGAAACATGATCAATTTTCTTCAAAAGCAAACCGACCTCCTTACTACTTTGAATTATTTTCTTGTATATACGAGATATAATCCCTAATTTTATTAAATGTTTACATATTGGAACATTCATAAATGAATATTTATTATTTCAGAAAGGCTTCTTGTAGTTTTGAGAGATGGTCGCACTCTTATCGGATTTCTTCGTAGTATAGACCAATTTGCTAATCTTGTACTACACAGGACTATAGAAAGAATACATGTTGGACAGGAGTACGGTGACATACCAAAAGGAGTATATGTTATAAGAGGCGAAAATGTTGTCCTTTTGGGAGAAGTTGTGAGTAATAAACATTATTTTTTCATTACTGTTTTATGAAGCAATATAAATACATACTTTAAACATATTAAAAACCAACTATTAATCTATATATATATAAATAAATGTATATCTGTCTGGTTGTCCTTTATGTATTACTAAACCATTCGTCCGATCACCATGAAACTTGAGGAAGTTGTTGCGTACACTCCCACGAAGATTTCTGGCATAGTACTTCTGTCTTACAATATTTTTTTATGTGTAAAAAAAATATGTAAATTTTTTTTGTTCAAAGCCACTATTATCCGAAAGTTCTTTAGCGAATGCTTTAAAATTTTGACACAGCGTTGCAATAAAATTCAGGGGTGTTTTTTGAACATTTTATTATCATCTGGCCTTTTGTTTCGAAATATTACCCATATTTATTTGAAAGCTTCCTGAATTCTCTACAAGATAAATAAAAAATCAATGAAATTGGATGATTCGTTGCAGAGTTATAGATAGATAGATTTTAAACATTTACTACTTTCTCTTCGGCAAAGGCCTTTTTTTTTTAATTGATTAATCGAAAATTTTATAATTACTGCAGTAATTGAAATTATCATTTGAAGGAGTGATATGATTCTCCTTACATACGTCAATACTATTATACGCTCTTTATATTCGTTTTTTATTTTTCCCTTAATGTATTCTGGAAGTAGTATGATACATCTCAAATAATTGATTTGCTATTATTTGAAAATATTTAACTCTCGAGTAATAATTATCACCGTTTATGTTCCTTTTAAAATCAGTTTTTCATTGATTTCAGTTTATTTTATTTTTAATAAATTATTTTCTTTAACATAATGTTGGTATAAGGTTGTTCCATTTACCATTCTTTCATGATTAAGGTTTATTTTCCCAGTACAATTTTTATAATTCTATATTTAATCAAGTTGTTACTAAGAAGAAGCAAGCAATTAAATATCTTAGGAGATGTATGTGAAATCTTTTGAGGGAGGTGGAATGCAGCTCTAAAGCACACGAAATGAACGCTATGATAAATGGCATAGTGAAATTTCAATGGATTGCCACGTTTGATATTTGAAAATCTTTAACATTGAAACAGTATCGTAAAATATTTTGAACCACATGTGTTGCTTTTACATCCAACTGATGGTGTGTTTTTACTTAATATGTATAGTTTCACCTTATATTTTATAATAGTAGGTAAATTAAACCATGCGTGTATTTAAATGCAACGTTAAGCCAAAATTTCAAGGCAACGGGTGAAGAACTTTCCGAGATTTTAAGAGTTTGAACTAACAAACATTTACATTTTTATTTGTCATAAAATAATCAACACATGAAATAAGTTGAACATGAAAAATATATGAGTGGCTCCATTTGAATCATGAAAAAAAAATCATTATAATTAGTTTAAATTGAAGCAATGTTACAGACAAATTTGTTTCTCAAATTTTTAAAAATGACATAAGTCCTTTGGTATTAATCTACTCATATGTGCTTTCTATTTTCTTTCTTTTCCATTTTGCCAGACAGTCACAGCAGCGCACGGCCTTTAAATTATTTTTAAAAATGTATATTCTTTTTTAGACCCAAGAAAAGGAAAATAATTTACCTCTGAAGCGAGTTTCAATTAAAGAAATCAAAGAAGCGCAGCAGAAAGAGCAAGAATCGAAACAAGAGCATGATAAACTACTGGCGAAAGCACTCAAAGAAAGAGGGCTAAATTATATTCCAGACTTGAGCCATGATGATATGTTTTAATTAATAATTATAATAAATAATTTATTAACATCTCCCTCAAATCTTTAATTAAGTTACAAAAATAAGAAAGACTAAATTATTAAAACTCAGTGATGTTTTTTTTTTTAGTTTATTCTAATTTTATAAATAAGTTTTATGATATACCCTCTTTTTCTAATTATGAAAAGTTCTTTGTGATAAAGAACTTTTTGATGTAGATATCTTTGTATATATTATATTAAATTATAAGTTAGTAAAAAAAAAAATTTTTAAAATGGAGCTAGCTAGAGTTGTAAAAATATTTGTTCAGAATTCTATTTTGTAAAAATTATTTTTGTAAATCTCAGGAATTTTGTAACCTTTTTCGTTATAAGGAGATATTTATTGTTTCAAATCATATCTAATTTTAGTATTTTGTTTATTTATAAAATTATGTAAGAGAAAGTTTTTAAATTAAGAATCATATTTAATTTTAAACATTACTTTTTCTTTTTAAAAGAATAAAAATAAGCATAAAATGTAATTTATTTGTCTAAAATTTCTTAATGACTATCATTTTAAACCTGACCAATCTTTCTTATATTTTAATGAAATAGACAAAATCAATTTGTTTGTCTCTTTACCATCATCTATGTTGCAACTTGCAAGATCTTTAATTTTGATTAATATAAAAATAATGGCACAAACTGAAAACCTACCATTTGCATTAGCCTAATATTCGAAATCATGGTGGCCTAATCCGTTGGCATAAGGGAAATTCATGCCGTTATGTGTGTATAGAAAAAAATTTTGATCTATCCGTATTTTTTAAATATTCCTAGTCCCGAATAAAAGATTTAATAGTAACTATTCTCTAAAACAATAACATATAACAATCATACTATAAAAAAAATTAAACACATTTTTTAAAATGAATGATACAATATTAATAAATAATTTAAATACCTGCTGTTTATTAGTTTCTTATGATCCACTGCCATCTGAAAATAAAATAAACATCTCATTACTCAAAAATTAGTAAAATCTAATTATCATTTTAAAATTCAGTATACAAAAATAAATAGTCTACAGTAGAGACCTCTTTTTTTATCAAATTATTAACATTTTTCCTAAAATTTTGTGAATAGCATCCATCTTGTCATATTCTACAAGTTTTTTATCTAAAACAATTCAAACGCCTCCTTCCTGAGAACTTTTGTGAATTAAAAATTTTAGGTTATGATAAGATGAAACGATTAAGTTTTAGAAGGGTGTTGTTAATTTGATAAAAAGAGGTCTGTACCACGAACTAATAATGGAAACTATTTCTTAAAATGATTCTTTGGTTATCAATAAGTTTTTTTTTATTCTTTTAATTTTACAATGTTTAAAAAAGACATCTTGAGATAGATATGTATATATATATTGCTATAGTAGAATATATTGTAAGAAAAAAAAATTTAATTATCTGTTAAATACCATGCAATTTTCAAAGTTCAAAATCTTCAATAATTAGGTTTATGTAATAATCTATAATAGACATAGTATTTTAATTCATACCTTATCAATTAACATTGTAAAAGTATTTGGATGTTTTAAAGTCCATAATCTTTTTATCGTATTATATATCAAAATTATTCTAAGGTGACAAGACATCCCAGAATAAAATTAACATCCATTCATCAAATTATTTATTTATTTTTTAAGATTTCTATTTTTTTTTTTCTATTCATTTAATATCCGACGTTTCGTTTTTATTATTTATTTGACATAATATATTATAATTTTAAATAATATTTTATTTTAATTATACATACATTTGTGTGTATTAAGAAAATAATACAACATAAATAAAAAACAGATATTAATATCAATAAATCTATAAAATTAACATAACAGTTAGAAAAAATATATTCATTCTCCTTTGAATATTTAATAGTTGACCGTTGCATTATAAAGGAAGGAGATGGTCCAGAGTGGCAGATTTAAATAGGCTAAATATTGGTAAAAATATTTTATTAAAAGCCAACGTTATCGCCAATGTTTGCAGGTCTTCTTCAGAGAGGTGTGTTCAGCTAGGAGTTTCACTTAGAATTTCAGTTCTCCTCCCTGAAGAAGACCTGCAAAGTCGGTTCGAAACATTGGCTTTTAATAAAATAGTTTTCCCACTATTTAGCCTATTTATGACTGCCACCCCAGATCATCTCCTTCCTTCATTCTCCTTTATTTGATAGATAGGAAAGTGGATTAACTACGTAATGTAATATGTCTATCAAATGAAGATTTTAATGATTTTTTTTAAAATAAAGATTTCTTAGAGAAATCAGGAAAACTTAATAAAATAAATTCTGTGAAATGCAACTTACTGTTGTTTTCTCTCCAGGAAGCCATTCACTTCTTTCTTGAAGTTCACTACCCGCCAAGGTCTTTAAACCCGGCAGATTTCGAAACGATAGTAACCGCATATCCACGGCAGAAACTAAGAAAATTCACTTTTACAAACAACAGAAAAACACTTTTAAATAAATGCAATGAACGATAAGCCCGAACCGCACCCGCACTAAACCTATTAACAAAAACTAAGAAAGTTTCATAAGGGTTTATATGAATATAACTTATAAAAAAATCAAGACCACTGCACTGCACCTATAAATGTAAGAATTCATACAGCATTCTGTTAATATAAAATGGATGCCAATATTCAAAGAACAATTGATAATAAAATCACAGTACTTGTTAAAACGTCATCTTATCGATATTTTAAGAAGAGTATAGTTTAATAAATATTTATATTTCTCTTCCTTTCCCCATAAATTACTTAAACTTCATCCTAAAAATATAAAATGAATTGCCAAATGAGATAAATAAAATTAAATACAAAATGTAAGCTGTAAATACACTCTTCGATAAAATCATTAAATCCAAAGTTCCAGAAAAGTTTAGCTCGCCTGTTACCTTCAAACTATTTAATCGTTGGACAATTTCCTTGTTTATTTACATTTATTTCTCATCTTATCGATTCATTCTCACAATTAAACCTTTTATAAATCTATTATCCTATTCAAGCAGAATAATTTAAGAAAGAAGGGACGGATGAATCGCACATAGAAAGGAAATGAAAAACAAGAAATTTTTGTATCACACCAGAAGAAGAAGTAAGTCAATAAAAACTTAAATAAAATAAAAACTAACAACAAAGAAAACTTTAAAAAATTTAGTTTTATAATGTTTAATTATCAAGATTTAATTTTATATTTTAAAGCATGATTAAAATTATAAATTAATTATACAGTTTAAATATATATTAAGTTCTTTATTAGTAGTTCGACATGACTCTAAGAAATAACTCTGCATTTAAAATAAATTATAGTTAATAGTATACAAAAAAACCTAGATCAGAGAAATGTATATATATTTTAGTTTTAAAATTTTAAAAAAAGATTTTAAAAAATCACTGAATAGCTTTTGAAATAAAATTATTACTAACGATATCCTATAATCGTTAGAACCCAAAATGTTTTTTTAAATTAAAAATCTTTGGTTCGCAGCCTCATCCTCAGGTAACTAAAGAAAATCCAATCAAGTTACTCATTAAATTTATACCTCTCTTCTTAATTGAACTTGCTTTGATTTCCTTTAGCACCTTCATAGGAGACATTAGGGCAGTAATATTAAAACAGAATGTTGAGCTCGTTAGAAAAGAAACAGTATCTCGGATACAAACCCTCATCTTCAGATGCCAAAAAAATCATACCAAGTTATTCTTTACATTTATACCTCTCGACTTTATCTAACTTGGTTTGATTTCTTTTAGCACCTAAATATAAGACGGCAAGCGACAACCATTAAAAATGATTGTTTGATTTGGTAGGAAAGCAATAATTTAACAATCTATATATATAAAAATGAATGTATGTCGGTCTGTCTGTCTGTTTGTCCTTAGTACATTACTAAACCATTCAACCGATCACCATGAAACTTTGGGAAGTTGTTCCATACACTCCTGGGAAGGTTTCTGGCATAGTACTTCTGTCTTACGATAATTTTATATATGTAAAAAAAATAAAAATGTAAATGTTTTTCTGTTCAAAGCCGCAAACAAATGTGTCGCTATAAAATGTAGCACCAAAACGGCTTTACCGATTTTTACAAAACTTGGCTAAAGTCTTCCCCTTGAAACCCTTTTAATTTATGTTTATAACATACTTTCCCGAAAACAAGCTGAAAAATGTTTCGATGAATTCAATATTCTATTTACCGATAACTAAAAAAGTACACAATTTTTTATTGATAATACCCATATTTATTTGAAAGATTCCTGATTTGCTGACAAAATAAATAAAAAATCATCGAAATCAGACGGTTCGTTGCAGAGTTATAGAGTTTTAAACATTTACTGCTTTCTCTCCACAAAAGGCCGTTTCCTTTTGCTTCCTCACTACCGAAGGTGGGCAAGCATTTTTTTTTTTTTATTTATTAATCGAAAATTTTATAATTACTTTAGTAATTGAAATTATCATTCGAAGAAGTTATATGTTTCTCATTATGTAGCTCAATACTATTATACAGTTTTTTTATTAATTTTTTAATTTAGTTTTATAAGTTCAACTCAGACTGTTTCTGATGATTATGAATGATGGCGTATTTACTCAGATGATTATGAATGTTCAATTTGAATCATTAAAAAAAAATCATTAGAATTAGTTTAAATTGAAGCCATTTTACAGACAAATTTGTTTCCCAACTTTTTAAAAATGACAGATGTCCTTTGCTACTAAACTACTCATAAATGCTTTCTATTTTCTTTCTTTTTCATTTTGCCAGGCTAAGCCACAGCAGCGCGTGGCCAGGTAAAGCTAGTTGATTACTAAATCAGAAACTCTAAATGATTCTGAGCATGATATAACTGAATAACTTTAAAAATAAAATTAATATTAACAATATACCATAAGCGTTAGAACACCAAACATTTTAAAATTAAAAGCCTTCATTTCGCAGTCTCATCCTCAGGTAACTAAGAAAATCAAATCAAGTTACTCTTT